TGGGCTACAGCCTACTTCATCGGATGCATGTAGTGGAAAATACAGTAGGAAGATCTATTATACAGAGAACATGAAACAATGGATGTTACTATACACACTATAAGGAGAGTGATCAGTTAAGTTGAACTTTTTATCAGCAGGAGAGAAAAAAAAAACTGTTTGTAGTGGTAATGAAAATGGCCCATTTCCAGCAATTGACAAGGAGATATGAGGAACTGTCTGGGGGGGAGCAGGGGGGGGGGAATAAGCATGGTGAAATAGCTTTACTTTGTGTAATGGCCCGTCCACTCCCAGTCTTTGTTCAAGCCCACGAAAGCTTATGCTCAAATAAATTTGTTAGTCTCTAAGGTGCCACAAGTACTCCTGTTCTTTTAACTGACATAGTTATACTGGTACAAAATTATGTATAGACAAAGCCTACCTCTAGCTCAATTGTGTATGTGGAATTAGACATACAGCAGTGATCTTCAGTGCTCAGTTGTATTAATTAGAGGTGTTGATTCCCCAAAATATTTGAGAATTATCCTAGTTAATCTTGCTAGAATAAAGTCAATCAAATTCCTGAATGTTATTACTGTTCCCTATTGAACAGTTACTATTGGATCATGACAATTTGCAAAGTGGATTTTGATTATCTTAATCCAAAATAATATTTTGCTCCAAACACATTTGCAGGAATCAGTCATATAATTCATAGCATATGAACACTGTGAAAACACAAACATCATGATATCAAAATTGCACATCCTGGGACAAATTTTTCCCTCCCTTACATCCGTGCAACAACATTGATTTCATTGAAGGCAGTTTCTTACTACTATGCAGGCCTTTAATGATCAAAACTGTGACTTCCGCTTGGCAAATTCATAGATTTTTTTTTTTTCTTTTAAGGCCACAAGGGACCACAGATGCTGGGAAGCCAGTTGAATACACGGAGTTCAGATGAGTCGAGCTTCGTGAAGAATTTGACACATAGTGTGAAACTGAAAATTTGGCACAGTCTTGTGACACTGGAAAAAGTCTAGGTGTGAAATCCTAGCCCATTGAAGTCAATGGAGCCAGGATTTTACTCTAGGCATTTGCCTGGAGGTGTTTGCTGGAGCGTGCAGTCTGTTCTCACTTCTCCCTTCCCATCCCAACACAGACTAGTGCAGAATGAAAACTGCTTCAATAAATAATGGCAAAATTAAAATAAATCTGTGGATGGTGCATACTTTTCCTTTTGATGACCTGCAGATCCAACAGACGTTTTCCTGTGTTTGTGTGAAAACTGCCAAATAGGTGGCTAGAAAAATCCAAATAACTTCTCAAAAACTGAGAAACGGGTCTTGCTTATAGGCCTACGGTGAAGGAATAATTTTTAAAATATAAAAACCTTCATAGAAGCTCTCGGGCAGATCCTCAGCTGGTGTAAATTGCCATAGCTCTGTTGACTTCAACAGAGCATTCAGCTGAGGAGCTGGCTTTCCAGCTACTGGGCAGAAACCCAATTTTCTGTTTCACAGCGAATTCCAGTTTCAAAAAAATTTCCATTCAGAAATTGAACAAACAAAATTCAAATTAAAAAAATTGCGATGAAATTAAAAGAAAATGTTTTGGGTTGATCAAAAACCTTTGATAAAATGTAAACATTTGGTCCCAGTTTCTACCCTTTTAAACTTTTAATGTTTTTCATGTAAAAAACAACAAATTTCATTTTGAAAAGTTGTTTCAAAATAAAAAGGCAAAACTCTCCCTTCTGAAAAGTCGAAACTGGACATATTTTGACAGTATTGAAACACTCATTTTCTAAACTAAATTTTGTGAAAATGTTGTGGGTTTTTTTCCCAAAAAATGTTTCAATTTTGATGAAAATGGCATTTTTCATTTTAAAAAAGTGTTTTGATTAAAAATTTCCTGCTGCCAGCTCTACCAACTCTGTTCTTCATTCACTTCTGGCCTGTCTCTTTATTCTTTGCACTGTAGCCATCTCAGACCTTGTAATATTTCATTTCTTTTTTATTAATACTTTACTTACTGTTTGTAAAGTGTTACCTTCAGACTACCTCTGTCAGAAAGAGAGGTGAATATTAAGTGATTTGCCCAAGTTCATATACAGAGGCAGTTTCAGAACCAGGATTAGCGGCTGCCTGGCCTGTGCTCTGAACACTAAGCCATCTCTCTCTGAGTTTTAGTTGTGCTGGACCTTTCCTTCATTCTTCAGCTTCATTTCCCTTTGTGAAAAAATATCACCCTAAACTACAAAACTTCATGAGACAATGCTTTACACACAAGTGAGCTTTTCCTGAGTGCTGTTTTACACTATTACAGATATATTCTAGATTTAAAAGTAATTTAATGAGTGAAAGAGCTTGAAGAAGCAGATGACATTTCAAACCTACCTGTTTAATTTTTAGAAAACCCTTTGGAGGAGATGGGTCCATCCTCATGGAGCAGAGACTACGGGTGCGCTTGATCTAGGAGGAGCCTCCACTCAACTATCATTTGTCCCAGAGGAGTGTGTGCAGAACTCCAATAGCACGTTACAGGTGCAGCTGTATGGCTATGAGTACAGTGTGTATACTCACAGCTTCCAGTGTTATGGAAGAGATGAAGCAGAGAAAAGGCTCTTAGCCTCACTAGTGCAGGTACATGCAGGAACTATGTTGTTCGGCTTGTATTCAGTAACTCTCTGAACATGTTCTCTCTTCTGCCGTAAGTTCTTATTGCAGTATGGCTTAGAGGCCTCAGTTAGGGCCCCATTATGTTAATTGCTGTACAAAACCTATTGGGTTCATTTTATACATTTAGCCAAACTGAGTATCGCTTATTTTTCTTTTCTTTTAATGTCTCTTTTTGAGGATAGTTTTGTAATTGTGTTTAATTATTTTTCAGTTAATGCCTTGGCCCCTTAGGACAGTGGCGCTCAACCTTTCCAGATTCCTGTACCCCTTTCAGGAGTCTGATTTGTCTTGTGTACCCCCAAGGTTCACCTCACTTAAGAACTACTTGCTTACAAAATCAGAAATAAAAATACAAAAGTGTCACCGCACACTATTACTGAAAAATTGCTTACTTTCTCATTTTTTACCATATAATTATAAAATAAATCAATTGAAATATACATATTGTACTTACATTTCAGTGTATAGTGTGTGTGTGTGTATATATAAGCAGTATAAACAAGTCATTGTATGAAATTTCAATTTGTACTGGCTTCGCTAGTGCATTTTATGTAGCCTGTTGTAAAACTAGGTAAATATCTAGATGAGTTGATGTACCCCCTGGAAGACCTCTGCGTATCCCCAGGGGTATGTGTACCCCTGGTTGAGAACCACTGCCCTAGGAGTCAGGCCATTCAGCTGTTTTGTATAATGAGAATGGATCCATTGTTAAAACTTAACCTGTACGTCTACTTTGTTCCCTCTGCCAAGAAATAGTCTGCTAAGCAATTAAACTAGACATGTGAATCTTTGTTTTATTTCACAAGTGCATTCTGTGAGATTGGATTTGCTTTGTATGATAATGATCATTAGACCATACTATATTCAATACTCTTGTTACGGCAGAGAGGAGAAGGGGGAGAATATAAACATATATGGTTAAAATACTATTAATTGAAATTAAAAGCTTTCCTGTTAAAGACAAAAAAAAAATTATTGTTTCCCTCAGAATTCAAGAAACAAGACCAAGGTTGATAATCCATGCTATCCCCAGAACTATGAAACTGTTTTAACAATGAAAAGTTTGTATGGAAGCCTTTGCACGGTATCTCTAAGGCCAACAAATTACAACCCAGGCCAACTCATAAATTTCAGGGGAACTGGAGACCCAGCTCTGTGCCAAGAGAAGGTGTCCTTATTGTTTAACTTCACTGCTTGCAATGACAAGGGGGAAGACTGTTCATTCAATGGAGTCTATCAGCCAAAGCTTAAAGGGAAGTTTGTGGTAAGTCTGCAAGCACAGTGTTCCTTTTTGCAGCATTTCTTCCCTACCTCTGATTTATATAGGATCTTGAGAATAAAGTGCCTTTCATCTGGTTTTATTTATAGGCCTTTTCAGGATTCTACTATACAGCCAATGCTTTGAATTTAACTGGACGCTTTCCCCTAGCTGCTTTTAATTCAAGTATGTGGTTTTTCTGCTCACAGAACTGGAGTCAGGTCAGTATGAATTTTCTGCATTTGGAAAGGGAAAAGATCAAGGAGCATGTCACATAGAACTATGGGAAACTGAACCACCTCTGTTCACAGGGATTCACGTGAATACATTTTTAAAAGATTCATATGAATTCTTACCTTCCTTTCCCATGAGTTTCAAGTTCACTCCAAACTATAAAATAATCCTAGGGTACTTAAACCATGGCCCAGGTTCATGAAACTTTTCCATGATCCTGGGTTGAGTTTCCTACTTGTAGTGAAACAAGGAACTAGGCATAATGCAAACGTTTTCTATTTCATTTTGTGAGTCTTGTGCACCTGTCATGTCACATCACAGCAAATGGAGCATATTTTTGCCAGAAAGAAACAAAGGGCTTGACTCTCATCTATACTTTATACTGTTCTGGCAACATAGAGAGGCCTTAAAGTGGGTAAGTGGTGTAAAAGAGCCTTACTGTAAATAAGAATCAGGCCCAGTTCTCCAGGAAAAACTCTTGTACTGAACAATCTAGATCTTTACAGTCATTAGTCTACAAATGAAGACATTTTCAGGAAGACCCTTTTTTGCTGAACTTGTATATTGAATGTCAGCTCAGTGGTTACGGAATCGGTGATCACACACGACCAATTTACAACTTCAAGGTGAAAGTTTGAATGCTACATCTACACGTGCAGCTGGTCATGTGATTCCCAGCTCGAGTAGACATACTCACACTAGCTCTCATCGAGCTAGCAGGCTAAAAGTTGTAGTGTAGCCGCAGTAGCGTGGGCCGCGGTGAGCAGCGGCACGGGCTAGCTGCCCTGTGTTCAAACCCACTTGGATCCCATGGATATATACTCGGGGCAGCCAGTCCATGTACTCCAGGTGGCCAGTCCATGCTGCCACTTGCCACTGCCCATGCTACCAGTGTTGCAGCTACTCTCTTTTTAGCGAATCACACCCCCAGCTCTAAGTATAGATGTAGCCTAATTGAAGCCTCTCCCTGGCACAAAACTACAATATTAGTTCTATACGGGGATTGGTCCTGCTTTGAGCAGGGGGTTGGACTAGATGATCTCCTGAGGTCCCTTCCAACCCTGATATTCTATGAAATAAGTACTACATAGAATGTGTTTCAGTATTTGCTTTTTAATTTGGTTGTGACAATCATGGTCCAGACACCCCAGGGAACAACAGAAGATTTAAACCACAAAAAATAAGCAGTTAAATCAACTGATTGTTGCCAGTGTTGTTGTATTACACAAATATATTGAGTAAGGTCTTTTATGAAAGCTTGTAGTGTTCTGAACTCAATGGTCATTCTGAGCTTTGTATTCTGTGTGTGCGTGTGCAATTATCATTGTAACTGTGGTGTAACTCCAGCCTCACCTCCGAACAGGGCAGGGAAGCAATCCGGCGAGAAGGGGCTACATCCCTAACCAGAGGAGAACAGTTTTAAGAACCCATCTATTGGTCCAGCTCAGGAAAAAACTATGGTGGACCATTAGAGTTAATGGAAAGACATTTAGACAATTGGGGATTTCCCCCACTTTTTGAATATCTATAGCGACTGAAGGAAAAAAAACCTGAAAGTCTTCTAAAATGGAAGGGGGTTGAAGTGAAAGGTGTCCAGAAACTGAGGGACAGTCACTTGGTGCAGGTGCTGTCTGTGAAATCCTGGATCTTTCCTCTGGCTAGGGGACATGCTGGAAAACTGTTCACAGGCAAAATAACTTTTATTAGAAAAGTGATTTTCTCTACTGTGAAAGTATAAAGCCTGAGGTTCTGTCTTTGTTTTTTACTATGTAACTTATATATGTTTGCTCTCCCATGCTATTTCATCTTTGAATCTGTTGCTTTTCTGTTAAACAAATCTTTCATTTATTTTTACCACAAGCAAACTGTATGCAAACTGGTATACAAGCTGTATGTGTGCAGGGGGAGGGGGAGGGAAAGAGAGAGAGTGAGAGTGTGTGTCATAGTAAGCTGGTGTCTGTGGGGCTGGTTTCACACTTTTGGGATGTTGAACCAAAGGGGAAAAGTCTGAGTGCCTGGTGGTTAAGAACTTGGGGAGGATGAATTTGGGGAAACCTGGGACTGGAAGGGCTGCTGGTGTCACCCTGCAAGGAGTAACCAGACTGGTGAAAGCCAGGGTGAGACCTTGTGCGTGTGGGCTACTGGTGTCAGGGGTCTGAACCAAAGCTGCATAAGGGCACCAAACATTACAGGGAAGGCAGTGACAGAACCACTTGCTGGTCTGGGTTGGTCCCCAAATGTCACATAGGTGTCTGCTCTTTGTTGCTGGTAGTTGTAGGGAAGGAAAACTGATGCTTATTAGCGTACCTACCTATTGCAATGGAATCATTAGAAATTACTTATGTCCTTTATGGTTTGTAATATCCAAGAAGAGCCCTTGAGACAGGGAGAGCCTCAGTATTACAAGGGGGTTTTTTTGCTTGTATGTTTTGAGAAGAGGAGAGAGAGTTTGCTTACTAAGAGCCATTATCTTGATGTAAGGATTCAATGCGATAAATCCAGAAACAACTAGATTTCTTTGTACTAAGTGTACTTTGTACACTTTGTACTTCATCCTACTCGAGATTAAGTCAATGGCAACATTTCCATTAACTCAGATGGGAGCAAGATTGGGCCTGGAGGCAGATTTATTGTTCATCGAGGTCACCAGGAGAATGAGCATAATTTAGAGTGGTCCTTAAATTTGAAACCTGCAGTAAAGCTATGCTAGGCCCCAAAGTGGCACTCTGCCATCTGTCATATTGCTATTTCAGACTGCAGTGCTCTGTGCTTTGTATTGCTTGGTATTTTTCCTCTGGTTTTAAAGTGGGTTTTTTTGGTGGTGGTGGTGGGTTTTTTTGTTTTTTGTTTTTGTTTTTTTGTTT